CGCCGCTGATATGCACCAAGAGACGTACTATGTGAGCCCCGAGGTTGCCGCCGGCGGTGCGAAGACGGCAGCGAATGACGTGTACGCGCTGGGGCTGCTGCTGCTCGCGATGCTGACAGACTCCCACCCCTGGCAGTGGAGTGCGAATGCGGCGTTAGATCGCTCACGGAAAGAGCTTGACTCGCTTCTAGCCGACAGTACGGCGTTCCGCGAGGCGCTGCGTAATGGGCTGCTGACACCGGTGCCGACCCCTGCAGACACAGACGAAACGCTGCGGACCGTGCTGGAAGCGTGTCTCCGCGCCGCCCCAGGGGATCGCCCCACTGCTGCCGATATTCTGGTTTTATGTAACCCATGGAATGTCGGGTTTTGCACATCTGAGGTGGATACAAAAGTGCAAGAATGAACCGGTTTTGTTGCCGGTGCTGCTGTTTATTCCAGCGTGGCCAACGCCACTTTTTCGGACTGCGTTTCGTTTTTATATCTTTATTTATTAGTACTATATTTTGATCAATTATATTTTCTGAGCTTGTTGGTATTATGTTTTTTAAAGTATTTCTTTTTAGTTGTTGTTGTTGTTGTTGTTGTTTTGTGATTTTTAAGGATGTTTACTAATGACCGCCCCCATGTAACCTTTTCCGGCGGCGCGGGAAGCCGCCCATTGAATCCTTTCGATTTATTTTTCTTTTTTACTTTTTTCTGTGTGCAACTGCGTGTGGCGATCATTTCGCTGCATTGGTGACGGTGTTGTCGACGTGATGCCAATAAGCCGCAGTCCACCTTCTTAGCTCTTTTTAGCTGCCAGCGACTGCTTCTGCAGAAGGTGCTGACTGTGCGTGCTGCCTTCACAGTTCCTTTTTTGTGTGTCAATCCACCCGTTTCACCACCCCTCACCGTAGAACATTTACACTAGTTAAGTATTCACAGCGTCACCATTCCGCGCACCGCGATGCGCTTTGCGGAAAGCGGTGCATCGTCCAGGAGCTCTGCCCCTCTTCATGGTGACGATGACGGGCACGCATCGAGGCCCGGCAGACACGTTAATCAAAGTCGAGAGGAGGGGAGCGGGATCTCTGAGGATGCATCTCCTAAGCGGCGGCCGTCAAGAGCACTGGAAACGATGCATCTAGCCAGAGCACGGAGACACAATTGTGGGATCCGTGACTCTAGCGGAAGCGACGTCGTTTTTCTTCAGACTTGTGAGTCGCACACGCGTCAGGGGCCACCGGTAAAGGCTGATACAAAAAAAGAGTCTGCACATGCCAGCGTCTCCGAGCTGCAGAAGACAGAGGACGTGGCGACGCGTGAAGGAGTTTCCGCGCCCTCACGTGGGGTTGCCTCGTCCAGCGCTGTTGTTTACCAAAATGAGAATTATCTGGGAGTGGACAAAGTGTTCAGACTCTCGGACAACGCTGGCAAGGACGGTAGGAGTTCTAGAATTAGTCGTCTGAGTGGGAAAGCTTCTTTGGCTGTTTGTGATCGGTGGAGTGCAATGGACAGTGCCGTTGCTGAGGGCGAGGTGCCAGTATTGCCCAAGAAGACTAACTTGAATGCCAAGTCGCAAGAAATGCCTGAGATTCGTATGGCAGCTGCATCGTTTCCTGGTGAGATTCTCTCCCGCACGGATTCTGCACATCTTCGGATACGGCACTCTCCCCCATTGCGGAGCACGCTCACGCTTTCTCTCCGTTGCTGGGTGCTTTGCCCTCTCGTGGTGATTTTATTGTTGGTGGCCGCAGTTACGATGTCGTTGTCGTTTGCAACGTCGAAAAGTAGCTCAGAAAGCGTCTTTTTGTCCCTGCATGACGTGGTGTTGGACAACATAGAGGAGTCCGTGGGGGATTTGACGTTGACAAAGATGGCACGCATGGCGGTGTCGACAGGAAGCATGTACTTTTCTATGAACACCTTCCCCAACCCTCGGGCTGACATACTGATGCCGCTGGAAGGCGGCATGATGTCGCGTCTCTGTGCTGTTCTTCGCGACATGGATCCTGCTAAGATGGTCTCTTCTCTCGGCGCCGTTTCGCTGACGAGACAACAGGCTGCCGTGTGCTTTAACTCTCGTTCACGCCCTGGCAACTTTTTGGGCACAGTGAGTCGCAATGGTGTCATTAAGGGCTTCTACCACGTTGACCCCGTGACACTGGAGTACAAAACCCCACTGGAACCCCTGGAAAAAGTTGATCCCCCCATGAGCATCGATGGCTTTACCAAATCCCAGCGCTTCGAGAAGGTGGTCGAGATATGGAAGACTGCGGTGGAAAAGGGTGAGCCGATGCTGTCAGAGCAATATTGGGTGACGCCGCGCCACCCGCCAAACTATGTTGTGTTTGTCTACCCATTCTTTGAGGTGTATGAGGACGGCAGCACCGGTGTTGGCTACATGTACTCAACGATGTTCACGGATGACATTGCGAGCATTCAGTGGTACAGCCCGGCTGAAAGTGGCATACGTGTGATGCTTGTGGACCCGGATTTAAGGGCAGAGCAACTGTTGGTTGTTGCAAACAGCTGGGGTCAACCACTTGCCAACGTCACAAACGCATGGCTGGCAACCGTGAGAGGCGATGCAGTGAAGTTTATGCACGTTGAGGACGTGGAGGACCCCATAATGCGCGAGGCGCTCAAGCACGTGGACCTTCGCGCCGCTATCAGCAGTGGCAGCGATCAGAATGCCTCCTTTCCTTACGGCGGCTTTGACGGACGGATCACTGCGAAGCGCATTGACGTTCAGGGTGGGGTGAAGTTTCTTCTTGTGGTTGTCACCAGTCGCAGCTACTACTTGGGGCCCGTGATTTTGTACCGCAATGTTGCGATTGTGGCGGGTATTGTGGTGTTGCTGCTGGTGACGGCGGCCTGCGTTGCGTTTGTGGAGTGCTGCTTGGTGATACCGCTTCGCGCCACACGGGCAGAACTGAAGCTTGCGCTGGGTGGTGCTCCGGTGAGTGCCAGGAGTCGTCGTCGCGCTGTGCTCCGCGAGGTGCGGGAGCTGGAGGAAGTGTGCACCACTTTGCGTTGTCGTCTTGACAAGGTGCGGTTGTACATGCCTGACCGTTTCAATGCAAGGGTTGCGGCCGCTGGTTACGGCAGTCCATTGCGAATCGAGTGTGGAATTGATAAAGCCAGCCTGGACGGGTCAAACAGCGAAGAACTGAAGCGAGTGACGTGCAGCGTCGCCTATGTGTACTACTCCCCCCGCACTGTCCGCAACCCCACCGACGCCGTTGTGGAGCTGATGATGCGGGCGGTGGTAAAGATTGCCACTGACTGCGGCGGGTGCTTCGAAGTGCAGCGTCCCGACTACTGCGTGATCAGCTTCGGTGCACAGTTGAGGGGCAAGGAGTTTGCGGCCGAGGCCTTGGAGGCGGTGGAGTTTGCTCGTCGGCTGCGCGAGGAGCTGACGGCGTGCGCGGAACTTGATGGTCTGTACCGTGTGATAGTGGAGTCTGGGGTGTTTCTCAGCGGCGTCATCAGTGGTGGCGGTCGCAGCCACTTTGTGCTGCTCTGTCGCAACCTGCACTACCGACTCGGCGGGTTCCTGCCGCACACAGGCGTTGGGCA